TTGTTGATAATTGTTGTTTTCAGGAAAAATTGGATTGCTAATAGTTGTGGCTGGTATGGTTGGTTCAGTGGTTTGTGGAATTGTTCTGGATCGATTTCACGAGTACAAGTAAGTCGTACGTGTTACAGTTAAAGTAAAATTCAGTTAAAGCAAGATTCGTGAAGGCGTTGAGTTTCTGGAAGCTTATCCTCAAGTTGTTTATCTTTCAGGCTAACAACAGTTGTTGTTTATTTGTTCAGCGCATTTGGTATGCTTCTATTCACGTTTGTTGTAGGCCTATCTCAGATGTGGTACATTTTTGTTACGGCCTCACTACTCGGGTATTTTTCATGTTCATGCAATTTTTATTTTTCCCTTAGAATCAGAAAATAAATCACAAGTACGCAATATTTTGATCAGAAGTCGTAAGCAACATATTCATCTTAGTGTATCTCTGTGTATGAGTTGTTAAACCTTCCATAGTTATAACTAAAATTGCGCTTGAATAGCAATGAGCAACATTTTCATACCAGAGGATTTGGAAGTTGAGTCAAAAAATTCTGAACTGAACATCAAATCTAGCAGAAATGTAAAATCCAGTAAAATCTCTTATGTCTTGAGAAGGAAGGCATTCACTGAAGTCTAGTCATAGAATTTTGCCGACTGCACCATAAATTTTTAAAAAAAATGTAAAAAAATTAAAAATCTACCGAATTCTTTGAATTATTTTTAACTTGCTCTTTTGCAGGTTTTTTATGACTGGATATTTGCCGATTGGATTCGAATTTGCGGCCGAATTAACTTTTCCAATAGCCGAGGGGACAGCTTCGGGCCTGCTGAATGCCTCTGCTCAGGTTTGATTTCTCTCCTTTTCTTTTGATTTCAGATTGCCACTTCCAAATATCTCCGCCTGTCTTGTCGAGTGAAGTAGGGGTTTTTTCTAATTTAATTATTAATTGTTGCTAATTCTTCCCAAATTCCTCGAAATACTGTAGACTGTGTTTCAATCTTTTTCTTGGATTTCACGTGTTATCCTTGAATTCAGATTTTTGGCATATTGCTCACAATGGGTGTTGGTTTCATTATTCAGTATGTCAGTGTTTTTGCTTGTAATCTGACTCTCACAGGCTTTCTTGTTGTCGGAACTTTTCTCACAGGTCAGTTGTGTTGTTTCGCTGAATAGCTTAAGTCAAAGCGAGAGGATGAAGGTAGAAGTACTACGTTTCTTTCTCACTTGCTAGCTGCCAATGTACATGCGTTTACTGATACTCAGTTCATGCGAAGCTATATG